AGACCTTCAAATGATCCCACACCCCTGAAGATGGCACCATAAATAAAAGCATGTTAATTGCATAAAGTAACACAGTTGTTATTGATTCCTCCAAAAGGGGAAACTAAACTACAGAGATGCAATCTAAATACTAAAAGCACAAACGAAAGCAGTCGAAAAATTCCCAACCATCTTTGATTATTTCTCTTTAGTTTGTGGGATTATTTCTATGAAGCAGTTTCCTCAACCATAGTATATTTTTCCGCATAGATTAGAAAAAGCAAAGTCCATCCGGTTCTTACAACCGCTGGATGATGACTGTTGTTGTAAACCATTTGTGCAGTAGTTGGATGATGTACATTCCTTGAACATGTCCCGAGTCCTGACAAAACATAAATTCAATTCTTAGCAATGTTGAGGTGAAGCCATTGCACAAATTCTCATTTGTGAGCTTACGGACTATTTAGGAAGACACCTTGTCGTAGATAGAAATGTAAAAGACTACAACACAACCTTTATATTACTTCAGTTTTCAATAACAAATAGTGGCACTACTTAGTATTCATATGCACCATTGCAAGTATAGTAAATCCAACAGAGAAGCTACGGTAGAGATAAATATAAAAAAGCATAATTTGACACATGGCGACATTCACTACAAAATTGCCAACCTGTGTTAATCCGCCTAGTCTTTCAACAACTTATTAAGGTAAGCTGATTGATTCTGAAATTTCCCATTGTATCGTGGAAGAAATCAAAGGTGGTACTTTGAGATCATACAATCAAAAGAATAGGAAAACAAAAGAAATAAGTGCAAATTTGTCTTTCTCTAAAACAAGTTTGAGAATGTGTACCTAAATTTCAATGCATGAGTACAATAAAGGTACTATGTTCCAACTTCCGTACGGTCAACTCCATTCCCAATAAACTGAACACTCTGAAACCCAGTGAACAAAAACCGGGTAAGTAGAACAGGCAAATCACTTTTTGGATCAGTAACCATGATAATACAGATGGAACTTGACAATAAAATCACATTTTTCACATAGAACGTAGATATGGACTTCTAAAGATGAAGCATAACACCAGGTCACGAAGGCATAGGCTTCCACTCCATTTCAGCGACTTAGACTAATTAATGAAACTGAAAGTGGTTTTCAGTGACAATAATAACCAGAGCTAATTCTCCATGATCTTCTCCTTTAGTTGTGATTGTAGCTAGCTTCAAGTTAAATGAAGTTAGAGTGAATGAAACAATTAAAAACCCCGGATCCACTAAAGGTAAGGGCATTACATTCAAATTTAGATGAATTAGATGAGTAATACCTGCAACATCAATGTACTCTTTCCAACACTTGGATTGTAAGCCTAACTTTCATGCATTCATGCTACATTAGGACTGAGAATGGAAAAATATCAAAGCAGGAAAGTTTTGAATTGCAATCAATATAAGGCAAGTCGTGTTGAACCATTCTACTACTCTATAGGAAAATTCTACTCATCAAAGTCTCAAACCCAATACCAGAGAGTTGTTTAAGCTCAATAAGAAAGTACATTTCAATTCTTCCTAACCCAACCAAGAGCTTTATGCCCAATTTTAATCATAGGCAGATAGTTCTAATTGATAGAGATTAAATAACCGAAACATCACAAATACAAACCCTAATTACCTCTTATAGGCCTAACTTTGATTCAGCTTGTTCAAAATCCCACGTCTCCTCAACGAACACCACAAGTACATATTTCATCTCCGCCCTAGTCAAAAATTAATTATCAATTTCTTGCCTATAGTGATGTAGGCGGAATCCGGGAATCCGAACTCGCTCATGAATCAAAATACACAACTCTCACTTTTTAGGGGGTTTTTTCTTGGATTTTTCTCAAGAAAACAAAAATAAAAGGATAGGATTGAAAAGAATTGTCGTGCAACTTCAACACACGAGAAGTGGCTCGAACAATATCAAGGTAGACGCCTGACCACGATTAAGGGGAATACTTGATCGATATAGAGCTCAACGAGTTTGGAATCCACCAAACTCACATTCAAGAGTATACACTCACAAACAAAAGGGTTTTTCTATTAAACATAATCTCAATAGTCTTAATAATCTGCCAAAATTCGTGGCTTACAACCCTTTAAATAGGTATGGAAAATAAACCTAATGAAAACACCAAAAAGTAAAAGAATTCTAAATGAAAAAGGTAACAAAACTTGGACAGACCTGAAACCCGGCCCAAATACCCGCTTGGGTATTTTACAGTCCTGGTCGGGGAAAATGACTTGACCAAAAATCTGGTCTCTATACATGAATCCCCGGTTGGGGAATTTGCCGTGGCCGGCCGGGTAATCCCCTCTACGGTAATCACATCAGTCCCTCCTCGTTGAAGAACCTTTGCCCTCAAAGCTTTCCAGCCTGGCTTCCAAACGAAATTTCTTGTATAATCAACATCAAGAAATAACAAACATTCTCCACAACTCCATGGAATCAAGAGCTCGAACAACCGATCAAACTTGAGCTCCAAATCATAAACTTGGAAGCTCAAGTGGTTGTAGTCCACCCCTTGAGCCCTCCATCCAGGTTTCAAAAGGAAACCGACTTCTTCAAAGGTGTCCAATCTTGAATATCCTCGTCCACAATCTTCATTCCTCAGACTCAAGCCACAACAATTTGTCTTCTTGCATCCAAAGGAATCAGTTCTCAAAAGCAAGCTATCAAAACTCAAAGCTTGAAGACTCCTACACGAGAATTCATCATCATAGTAATCGTAGAAAAGATTACGATAAACGATCTTCTCCTTTTCCACCTCAACCAAATTGTAGGAATCTCGATATTCCTTTTGCAGTTCTGGACAGTTGATCGATGATGTCTCTGCTTCCAGATTCGCCCTCCTCCTCCTAAGCACCCGAACTCTGTTGCACCAGAGCACAAAAGTCGTGGAACCCAGTTGGTGCCAAATCATCGCGGACGGTCGTTACTTGAATTAGGAAAGCCAACGTTTTCTGCATATCTTTCCAAAGACTGGTGTCAACTAGCCACTTTTCTCCTTCAACAAACGCGTTCATGTCCGCCGCATACTTTGGATGAATCATGGCTTGAAGCATAGCTTGTGATCTTCTTCTCCTTGGCACTGATTTGAACAAATACACAACCAAAATCCAAGATATCCCCCCCCCTTTTGTTTAGCTATGTGGCTGGTGAACCAAAAAAAATCACTTTTTTTCTTCGTGAACAGTACTGTGAACAATACATTTGAAATAAAATACCTCAAATCGCCGTTGAGTTTGAACGCGGCTCTGATACCACTTGATGTAGGCGGAATCCGAACTCGCTCACGAATTAGAATACACGGCTCTCACTTTTTAGGTTTTTTCTGGGATCTTTCTCAAGAACACAAAAATAAAAGGATAGGATGGAAAAGGATTGTCGTGCAACTTCAACACACGGGAAGAGGCACGAACAATATAAAGGGTTAGCAACTCGACCACGATCAAGGGGAATACTTGATTGATACAGAGCTCGCTCGAATGCTAGAGATCCACCAACAAACAACGACAAATCCATGAGTAAAAACTCAATGCACCGAAAGGGTTTTTCCATTATCAAAGTATGAATAATCTGAATAGTCTGCTAAAATTCGTGGCTTACAACCCTTTAAATAGGTATGGAAAATAGAAAATAAACCTAATGAAAACACCCAAAAGGAAAAGAATTCTAAACGAAAAAGGTAACGAAACTCGGAAAGACCTGAAACTCGGTCCAAATACCCGATGAGATATTTAGCTGTCCTGGTCGGGGAAGATCACTGGACCAAAAAACCGGTCTATTTACATGAATCCCCGTTCGGGGAATTTGTCGTTGTCGGCCGGGTAATTCCTCTGCGGGAATCACATTATACAGTGCCTCCTTAATGCTAAAAGCCAACTGTGAAATAGAGAGAGAGAGAATGTGTGAGTTCACCATAAACCCAAATTAAATAATGAGAAAAAGAAATAATATACATGAGTTCTTACCACTGGACGAGAATAGACAGATGTAGAATCAGGGAGACGGAAAAAGATGGCCAAACCTGGATTCCACGAAGGTTAGAGCTCTAGACAACGAGCGTCTGAGTACTATGGTAAACAGGGACGATGGTCTAAGTAGTGAGGCAACAGAAATCTATGTTTCAAGCCGCAAAGCAAAGGTTAGAGAAGTAGGGCAAAGACCATTGATTTTGCCGGAGCTTGAGGTTCTCCTGTACGTTGAAGTTAGGGTTCTAAATGCTAGAGCGGGGAGAAAAGAAATTATTTTGGAAAGGAGAGAGATGAGAGTCAAGGGATTTTGGGTTGGGGCAAGGGTACGGGGGAAACTGGAAACCAACTTTAGTGATAAAATTTGTGGAGGGGGGGGGGGGTTTGGCAAATTAATTGGGCCGGGTGAGAGTTTCTCCCCATGAAGCGGTTTCTTTAACCACAACTTATATCACTGCATAGAATTAAAATAGCAAAATTCCGACAATGATTGTTACGGCGGATACCCACCTCATCAATTGTCAGTGGAGGCGAGAACATGGACTTATAAGCTCGTACCGTTTCAACAATCCCGACGTTAGGAACAACCGCTGGATGACAACTGCCGTTGTAGGCCACTTTGGTTGTAGTGAGAGCTCTATCACATGATCATCTTATCAATCATGTTACGTTTAACATCAATGAGAATTAATTGCACACAATATAAAAAGGCTTGGGGGTGATAAACAATCATATCTTGTCTAGTACAGTAGTACTCGTGATGGAAAACAAATTAAACATAATTCTTTTGTGTATATATATATATATAATTCTCAAACAAGTGCTTGCCTTTACATAGATAGTTACATAAAAAAATTAGCTGAATTTTTTCTCATAATATTTATATTGTACTATTTAATAAGTACATTTATCGGTGTTCACATCTCTGTGCAAAAATTAAATTGATTAGCCAGGCAAAAAATAACAACCAAAAAGAAACAGATCCAACAAATTATGTGTCAACTACTGTTCATAGAAGCGTAGAGAGCTTCTGGTTGAGGCCAACGTCGACTCCATTGTAAGCAATCGGTGCGTACATCCACAGATCATCCGAGCTCAATAGCTGCAATTTACAAATTTTCAGAAAAAGAAAAATTAGAGATTTGTCATCCATCCAACTAATAAACCACCTAATTATAATCATGCATCATTAATCGAGGGAATTAATGTCAATTAATTACCTTGATCTGGAGCTGCAGGAACTTGACATAATGCACCGCCTCTTCAAGCATTGTGCTGATATCAACTTTCGTCCCGTTGGGCACCAAAGTCTGCAGTATCCTCAGCCGCTCGTTAATCCTCTCTCTCCTCTTCTGCAAAAAGATTAAGCTCATAACCATTAGTTTTAATTCCAGATTAAACCTTAATCACGACCATTAAGTAACATAGTAGTTAATATATAGAGCTAGATGACTTACTCTAGCGTAGAGGCTCTGAGGGTCCGTGGCCGATCCCCGGCTGGCTCTTGATGACTTCTCTTTAGCAACCAATTTGGAGTCTCCGTTGTTGTTTGAGTACTCCTGGGAACCATTCATGACCTCCTCCTCCGAATTACAACTGCTCGAGCTTTGCCCGCCACGTCCACAATTGTAAGCCACATTGTTGTTGTTGTTGCTTGTGATTTCCTCCTCGTGATTAGGGCTACCGCCGCACGATCTTTGATTATTCCTCTTGCTTTTCTGCATTTATACGGCGAAAAAAATTTATTATTAGACATGGACTGCGTGAGAAAAGTAGTTTTTTCGCGACCAAACGACTTGTTTAATCGCGAAAAAAGCTCTTTTTGCGAGTGTCGTGATAAGTAATTAGGATACTACTTACGGAATCTTTGGTGATCACACGAGGTCGTTTCTTGTCGGAAGGGCTATCAGTGGGGACTTGTGATTCCAGGCCGTCGTCGAGCTTCCTCTTGAGCATGGAAGGAACGAGGGCTGGAGCCTCGAACGGGAAAGTGCCATTATTATTGCTCATAGACATAGGGATAATATTGTAATTATTAGCTGCCTCCTCAGCGTTGAAAAAATTTGTTGAAGGAGCATAGTAGGAAATGTCCTGGCCGGTGAAATGAGCTGCGGGATCAAACAACGGACTGTTGTTGCCGCTGCAGTCGTTGCTACTACTGTTAGTCGTAGTTGTGGTGGTGCTATAGTTCATCATCTCCACCGGCACAAACGAGCAAAGAAGGCTCTGGTGATTAACTTCGCCGCCGGCGGCAGCCACCATGGCCATCATGTTTTCTTCCTGATCGTGATAACTCTCCATTGACATGTATCTGCTCAAATCGAAATCTGCATCAGGGAATGCTGCCAAGAACTCCATTTTGTTGTTTTTTTTTTTGTTTCTTCTTTCTGCGTATTTAGAGTAGGAGAAGGAAGAGGAGCTGAAACAAGAAGTGGGTAATGGTGTTTGTTTTTGGAGCTATGAGACAAGGGATGGCTTTAGGTTATATATATACTCAACTTGTTTGTGGGCAAAAGGGAATGTTGCTGGTACAAAAGGGGAGAGGGTGAGAGGGTGCATTTGACTTCTGACTTGTATGGGATGTGGGGAATTTTTATTTTATTTTATTTTATTTTATTTTATTTTATTTTTTTCTATTTTCTATTTTATTATTATTATTGTGATTTATTGTTAAAAATATTAGCAATCATTCTGTAGGGTAGGTCCCAATTCTCTGCAACTGAACTCCAGGAGTCCACCCAGTACAACTAAGATGGACGGACCCCACTTCATGCAATTCTATTACAATTTTATGGGTTAATTCATGAACTAATGTTAAATTGCAATTAAGCAAGTAATTAGGAGGAAAATAATGCTTTAAGTTTAGGTAGAGGGAGCTAATTAAGGGTTAGCCCTCAGTATAATAGACTACACTGCTGTACTAATGATCTCCACAATTAATTATCTTGTTAGTACCACCTGATCATGATTAAAGATTATATTGTAACATTAGGTAAGAGAGAAAGACTGTTAAGGACCTAATTATTGGGAGGTCGTCTAATCATCTGCTGGGATTAACTAGTTTATTGTCTTCACTAATTATTCCATAGAACCAACGTTTACTTCCCAGTTAGGCAAATCAGTAGAACTACTAATTATGGGGAGATGGAGATATCACCATGTGGAGGCTTATTAACACTACTGCTTCAATGAATCATCCACTCATCCTCATCTTTGTTGTCCTGCTGTTTCCTGCGTTCAAGAAACAAATTTCGGATTTTCTGTTAATATAAGGGTTGCTAAGCAATGACAATAAAAATATATATATATAGGCTCAAGATTTATGTGGTTCGGTCTTTCAAAGAGACTTTACTCGATTATGTACTTATTAATTAACCAAAATTTGCTTGACTATAAATAGTTTATAGTCGAGAACCTATATACATACGTAAAGTTGTAACCACCAAACTCTACATCTAATCCAGCTAATACATAAAGTACTACGAATATTTACAAATCAATCGCCACATTCACATAGTTTGACGAGGATAAAATGGAGCGTTTAAGAGAATTCTAATAGAATTATATACCGATTTAAATCTACACTTTTTTCGAGTTTTATGTGAGCTTGTTACCCTTACGTTACGTAGCTATATTCCTGGAATGAGTTTCGAACGATCTAAACAGGCAATTGGAATGACATATTCCAGAACCAATAATATAATATCGATATGAACTCATATGCCTCCTCTAACAACTCAAATGCCAACATCATAGAAAGGACAATAAGCCCACTTAATTTGGCTAACAACTTAGCATCAAAAAGAGAAAAGAGACCCTAGCTAGAGCATGCGCTATTCGAAGATGTCAGAACGTGGGAAGGGTCTTCCTTAATAGTTTATGAAGTGAAAGAGAGAACCCAATTATTGATTAAAGAAATCAAATTGGTTCATCCTCTCCTTCTCTTCTGTGTTTGGAGAGAAAAGAGGAGAAAGGAAGAAATTTATAATAAACAAAACGCGGCTAAGGGAACCCCCATCGTGGCGGTGAGTCTGTAACCTTTTTGATAATTCTGATAATATAATTTTTTTAAGTCAATTAAAAACACACACAGGAGAGGGAAAACCGCCGACAGGTAAACCGTTGAACTCGCTCCTTGTCGCCCTTCATTGCGGCTCAAACCTAACGACTGCTCCTGAAATTAAACCTTTGGAGATGGGATGTATTCAGTGAATCCAGCCAGCTTCTCTCATTTTACTCGCAAACATTAAAAAAATACAGAGAAAGGACGAGCCTCTTAATTTGTACAGTTATTCTCAGCGCTGGCTGGCTGTCTCAAATTAAATATGAATATTTTGAAGTGAGTTGGAAGTTGGAAATCCTGAATGCATTTGGACACTAGATGTGCCCCTGTTCCCATAGTTGCACATTATTTGGACTTTTCAAAGTTTCAACCCATAACTCAAAAAGCCCTAGCTAGCTAAGTCTCCACTCTCCATGAATGTTAGGAGTTTCAATATTAATGCGGTTGGGAATGGGAAGACACTATGTTGCAAGTTGCAACATGTTGTTTAGCTCATTATTAGTGGATCGCCCCTTCTTTTGTGAATGATATGTATGTTATCAAAGGTAAGTGATACATATCATAAGAGGCCAAACCACATCCTGAAATCAAATCCTCCCAGCTAAGACAATATATCGCGTTGAAAAATATCTCACTGCTTGTTAACATAATCGCGGGAGACGGGGAAAATTATGGTGTAGATTGACCTTGCAAAAGCATATATATATATGACCAAATCAGCTCGGAGTTCATCCATGAGACCCTGGACTCGGTAGGATTCCTGCGTCAGTTAATTAAAGTCGTCATGGGCTATGTCACGACCGCAACAATGCAGGTTTTATGAAAATGGAATGATAGCTTAACCTATATGTTTACTACTTCACATGGTCTATATAGCAAGGGTGCCCATAGTCAGGTGCGTTAGAGAGTAAGAAGTGTGTTCCATGGCACCCCCTTGATTTGGAGACACACACCAAAACTTAGTTGTATTAATATACCAAGAATACAATTTGAACTCCAAATTTTAATGTTAACTGTCAAATTTTATAATTCAACCAAATTCAATTATATAAGTTAGTTTTATCTGCTAATTTATACATTATTGCAGTCTAGTTTATCAAAATGGATAAGAGGGTGCAAAACTGCAAATTATTAGAGGAAATTATTAACTTTCTATGATAATAATAGACGAAAGAAAAAATTAATTCCTATCGATGTATTTGCTTGTTCAATTATGTTTAATTTGCTAATACATTTTTGTCAATAAACATGTTGATCTAAATTTTTCTTCAATGAAACACCATATCGCATTATGAATAAGCTCATTCATATAAAATTCTGACTACGCCACTGCCCCTAGTCCCATGCTTTGTTATCTGTGATACATAATGGTTTAATCAAACCATTCAGCAGACCTTCCTGATGAGGGCACTAGTAACCCATCGGTTCATCTCTAGGTTGTCCCATTTTCTCTTTTTTTTTTTTTTTATGACAATCTTATTATGTTTGCAAAAGCAACTAAAACGCAAGGGGATTTCCTCCTAGCATGCCTAGATCATTTCTGCCTCGCGTTTGGGCAGCAGGTCAGTAAAAAAATTGTGTAGTTCCATTTTTTAGGAACACTTTGAGATAGACCATTCTCACCAATGCAATCAAAATCGCACTTAAAATCTTACGATTTTACACTTTTAGTTCACCAAAACATTTTCGTTTCCACATAAAATCTTTAATGCATAAAATCGCACTAAATTACGCTAAGCTTACGCTTTTACGCTTCTAGTTCATCAAAATGCTTTACGTTTTTACGCTTCTAGTTCACTAAATGAGTATTTTATTCATCATGAAATTAATTATATATTTTAAAGGTAAATCACCAACAATGTGATACTTTAAAGATACATACTAGGTATTTGGATGCATTCTTAGCTTCAATAGAGTAATCTAATTTACCAGCTAGACCATTCCCAAATTCATTAGCATAGAGGGAAAGGTGGCTTATTGTTAAGATCTATGTTTATAAACCCATTGTTAAGATGATATGAGTTGCTCTATTTTAAACGTGAATTGCAGGTATTTATTAACTTATCTAAATTTTGTTTGAGCACTCATATTTTAAATAGTATATGCCGTACTTGACACATATTTAGCTATTTTACAGTATGCGTAAAAAACTTATACTTTTACGCTTTGATTCTACGCTTTATGATTTTACCCATTTTTCGCTTCTAGATAGAATCGCGCTTTTGACTGCATTGATTCACTATTGCACAAAAATCTGGAGATAATCGTAACACAGGGTCTAGGCGCTACTTTGGAAGTCTCTGTTCTATAAATTCTCTTGACTAAGGCAATGTATGAATTTATACTTGATCATATTAATAAAAACTTTCAGTTTGGAAGCAAAAGTCTCTTATCTTTGCATGGGGACTTGCATTGGCAATCTTTATTTTGAGCTCTCTTCCCACCTATGAGATGGAGACTACACTTCTTCCACAATCCATAGGCGATTAAATTGGTCATAAGATCCAATTCTTTCAGTCGGGTTCCACAACAAAGGAGAGGAAAATTTACCTAGTGCATTGGGCGGAAGTGCCAACCCATTTTGCTGGGATTGATGATCCTTTGCTTGCTGAGATCCTCTCGCTTCGGGAGGCACTTTTTTGGTGTATCGCGGCTGGTTTTGACCAAATGCGGTTTGAAGGGGACGCGAAGATGACGATTATTGGTGAAATCAACCAAGCGACACGAGGGAAAGCCGGGTTGGAGCTCTCCTTGAAGAAGTTCTGATTTGCTTATCTAGCCATAGTGGGTTCTCTGTGCAATTTGTAGGTCGACGTAGTAATAGGGTAGCCCATTTGGTGGCTAAGAAGGCCCTTCATTTGTATCCGACTGCGAGTTGCTTCTTTGATTTTATGGCCTGGCTAAATTCCAGGATGTAACTATCTATTTTCTTATCAATATAGGATTATCTTTTGTCAAAAAAAAGTGTGTTGGATAAATTAGAAAGGGAACTGGTGCTCCATTGTGCAATGCACTAAGTCTTGCTTTCATGTCCAAAATAGTGTGGCATTTTTAACCGATCGGATGAATTTGTGGGTTGTTTTTTGCATGCCAAATATTTCAGAACACTAATAGGGGGAGTGGTCTAAACATCGTCGACAAAATAATCGACGGTATGGAAAGAAATCAAGAAGGCGTAGCATATTATGGCAAAGAAAATAAGGATAAGCATAAGAGATGTGTGGGAGACACGCATTTCTAGACTGTCAATGGCTATATAACGGGAGTTGCTTCTCGATCATGCTCAGGAAGACAG